GAATAAAGAATGCCAGAAATGGTAAATATGTGAATAAACATAAAAAACTCCCCCCTTATTAAAAAAACAACTGCTTAAAATAGACATAATAATAATGTATCCTTGGATTTATAACACTTGTAAAGGTAAAATATATGAGTACAAAAACGCAAAGGATAGGAAGAGAATGGAAGTATACTGTTGTAAGATTCTTATACTATACGTGAAGTAGTATAATGTTATTTGAAGGTAGACTGTAATAAGTTAAAGATGAAGGCTGTAAACACTAGAGCATCCACTAGAAAATAAAAGACTAAGAGGTATCGCTCACGAGCCAATTAAATATATAAAAATGGAATTATAAACATTAATCCAAAAAGCAACAGAAAACTAGTTTAAAAGGAACAAAGAACAGATGAGACAAATAGAAAACAAATGGCAAGATGATAGATTAAAAACCAAACCATAAAGATAATCACATTAAATATAATGGTCTAAACAATTAAAAGACAAAGATTGTCAAATGGATAAAAAAAGAAGGTCTTGGCCGGGCGCGGTGGCTCAAGCCTGTAATCCCAGCACTTTGGGAGGCCGAGGCGGGTGGATCACGAGGTCAGGAGATCGAGACCATCCTGGCTAACATGGTGAAACCCCGTCTCTACTAAAAATACAAAAAAAATTTAGCTGGGCATATTGGTTGCACACCTGTAGTCCCAGCTACCCTGGAGGCTGAGGCAGGAGAATGGCGTGAACCTGGGAGGCGGAGCTTGCAGTGAGCCGAGATCGCGCCACTGCACTCCAGCCTGGGTGACACAGCGCGAGACTCCGTCTCAAAAAAAAAAAAAAAAAAAGAAGGTCTCAGACAAATGCTGTCTATAAGAAACCCAATTTCAATATAAAAACACAGATAGGTTAAAACCAAAGGATGAAAACAGATATATTATGTAAATATTCATTAAAAAAAGACCTGTAGTGACTATATTAATATCAATCAAAGTAGGGAGCATCACCAAGGATAAAGAAGACCATTTCATAATGATAAGTGTCAATTCATCAAGAGGCACAACAATAAAAAATGTTTATGTACCTAAAAACAGAGCTTCAAAATACATGAGGCAAAAACTGATTAAACTATAAGGAGATATAAACAACATCACAATTTTCCCCCTCTCAATAGTTGATAGAACATGTAAAAATTTGTACATATATAGAAGATTTCAATAACACTGCCAACCAACTTGACCTAATTGACATTTATGGGGCATTCAACCCAGTAACAGCAGAATACAGTCTTTTCTCATGCACATGGAACATTTACCAAGATAGATCAGATCTGGGGCATAAAAGAAATAAAACAAGTGTGTTCCTTTTTCCCCCTAGAGATGAGATCTTGCTATGTTGCCCAGGGCTGATCTCAAACTCTTGAGCTCAAGCAATCCTCCCACCTAAGCCTCTCAAGTAGCTGAGACTACATGACCACACCAGGCATGGGACCTGTAGTCCCAATTACGTGGGAGGCAGAGGTGGGAAAATCGCTTGAACCCGGGAGACGAAGGTTGCAGTGAGCTGAGATCATGCCATTGCACCAGGTATATTTTCCAACCATAGCAGAATTTAATTAAGAATCAAGAGATTCTTAATCCCTTAATTAAAACAGAATGATATCTGAAAAAATATACACATATGTGGAAACTAAACAGAGCTATTCTAAGTAACCCATAGGTTAGAGAAGAAATTAAAAAGGAATATTAGAAAATAGTTTGAACTGAATGAAATGAAAATATAACATATTGAAATTTGTAGGAAACAATAAAAGAAGTGCTTAGTGCTAATATAAACATTTATATTAGAAAAATTAAAAGATTTAAAATCAATAACTTAAGCTTTCACTTTAATAATCTAGAAAGAGAAGAGCATATTAAACCCAAGGTAAGCAGAATAAAGGAAATAATAAAGACAAGAGATGAAATCAATAAAGTTAAAAACAGAAAAACAGTAGTGAAAATCAAGAGTGGTTCTGTGAGAAGATCAATAAAATTAATAAATTTCTAACCAGATCAATCAGAAAAAGAGAGAACACAAGTAATCAATACCAAGAATGAAAAAGGAGACATCACTATAGATGCTACAGACATTAAAAGGATCATAAGAAAATATTATGAAGAACTTTATGCCAATAAATCTGGCAATTTAGATGAAATAAATTTCTTGAAAGACACAAACTACTAAAGCTTTGCTCAAGATAAAATATCCAGCATAGCCTTATACCTATTAAATAAATTGAATTTAGACTGGGTGCAGTGGCTCATGCCTGTAATCCCAGCACTTTAGGAGGCTGAGGCAGGAGGATCATGAGGTCAAGAGATCGAGACCATCCTGGCCAACATGGTGAAACCTTGTCTCTACTAAAAATACGAAAATTAGTCAGGCATGATGGCAGGTGCGTGTAGTACCAGCTACTCAGGAGGCTGAGGCAGGAGAATAACTTGAATCCAGGAGGTGGAGGTTGCAGTGAGCCGAGATTGTGCCACTGCACTCCAGCCTGGCGACAGAGAGAGACTCCATCTCAAAAAAAAAAAAAAAAAAAAAAAAATTGAATTTGTTGTTAAAAACCTTCCCATACAGAAAGCTCCAGGCCCAGATGTTTTCATTGATAATTCTACTGAATATTTAAGGATGAGATAATGCTAATGCTACACAAATTATTTCATAAAATAGAAGAGGGGCACACACTTATTAGCTCATTCTGTAAGGCCAGAATTACTCTGATCTCAATGCCAGACAAAGATATTACGAGAAAAGAAAAGTTCAGCCGGGCGTGGTAGCTCACATCTGTAATCCCAGAATTTTGGGAGGCCAGGGAGGGCAGATGACTTGAAATCACAAGTTCAAGACCAGCCTGGCCGACATGGTGAAAACCCATCTCTACTAAAAATACAAAAAATTAGCCAGGCGTGGTGATCCACACCTATAGTCCCAGTTAACTGGGAGGTGGAGGTGGGAGAATCGCTAGAACCCGGGAGGCGGAGGTTGCAGTGAGCCAAGATCATGCCATTGCACTCCAGCCCAGGCAACAGAGCGAGACTCCATCTCAAAAAAAAGAAAAAAAAGAAAAAGAAAGAAAGAAAAGAAAAGAAAAGAAGAAAAGAAAAGAACTGACTAGGCCGGGCGCGGTGGCTCAAGCCTGTAATCCCAGCACTTTGGGAGGCCGAGACGGGCGGATCACGAGGTCAGGAGATCGAGACCATCCTGGCGAACACGGTGAAACCCCGTCTCTACAAAAAAAGTACAAAAAAAAAAAACTACCCGCGCGAGGTGGCGGGCGCCTGTAGTCCCAGCTACTCGGGAGGCTGAGGCAGGAGAATGGTGTAAACCCGGGAGGCGGACCTTGCAGTGAGCTGAGATTCAGCCACTGCACTCCCGCCTGGGCGACAGAGCGAGACTCCGTCTCAAAAAAAAAGAACTGACTAATATGCTTCATGAGCATAGATGGAAAAATCCTTAACAAAATTTTGGCAAAATACTAAAAGCATAATATATCAGCAATATATTAAATCAGCATTGTGTTAAAAGGGCAATGAAATGAAGCTTATTAATAGGATTATTATAGGAAAAGCAGAGAAGCTATTAAAGTTGAAAATCTTCCCATCCTTCCTGAATAAGTATATTAGAGAAAAATTTTTCTTTCTTTCTTTCTTTTTTTTTTTAATGATGAAGTCTCCTTCTGTTGCCCAGGCTGGAGTGCAGTGGCACGATCTTGGCTCACTGCAACCTCTGCCTCCCGGGTTTAAGTGATTCTCCTGTCTCAGCCTCCTGAGTAGCTGGGATTACAGGTGTCTGCCACCATGCCCAGCTAATTTTTTTGTATTTTAGTAGAGATGGGGTTTCACCATGTGGGCAGGCTGGTCTCAAACTCTTGACCTCAAGTGATTTGCCTGCCTCGGCCTCCCAAAGTGTTGGGATTACAGGCATGAGCCACCATGCCCAGACAGAGAAAGAATCTTTTTCTTCTAAAATAATAAGTGGACTGGGCACAGTTGCTCACGCCTATAATCCCAGCACTTTGGGAGGCTGAAGGGGGCGGATAACTTGGGGTCAGGAGTTTGAGACCAGCCTGGCCAACATGGTGAAACTATGTCTCTACTAAAAATACAAAAATTAGCTGGGTGCGGTGGCGCATGCCTGTAGTCCCAGCTACTCAGGATGCTGACGCAGGATAATTGCTTGAATTAGGGAGGTGGAGGTTGCAGTGAGCAGAGATCGCACTACTGTATTCCAGCTGGGCGACAGAGCAAGAACGTGTCTCAAAAATAAAAATAAAAGTAATCATAATAATAGCAATAATAAGTAGCCATCCATCAAGCCCTCAAGCCTCAAGCCTTGGCTGTGTTCTGTTGCCCTTGACTTTCGCCGCGCTGCTGTCACTATCAACTACCTGAAACTATATATCTTAGAGTTGTCTCCACCCAGCAAGCTTTTTCTACAGTAGCTGCAAATCCTACTTGGCCCACTGGGGATGTGGACTCAGTAGGCCTGGACAGGGAAATATCTAAGATTCTCAACACAAACATGGCAAGGAAATATCCTGTTTTTGAGAAGCTTTTGAGAATAGCTGTGTCCTTCTGCCTTGAGGAGGCTGGGACAACTTTGTAATCAAACACAAAAAAGTGATCACTCCTGGGTAGGCCGCCCTTCTTCCTTAGGTCACATCGATTACATTTTACATTATATCCTGACTTTAAGAAAGAAAAATTGGGAGGTCATACGTCCTGTTTTTCCTCAGTTGCCAACTTCTTAAAATGGGGCTTCTAGTGAGGTCTTGAAGATTGCTTTATGGTCCACACACAACTGTTTGCCATGTTAGGTACCAAGACCAAGATGGGTCACTGTTTGTCTCTCAGAGCTGTAAAACCTCACTGGAAACTGCCAAAAAGGTGCAGCTAAATAATTATCCCAATGATTTAATTCAAGCACTTAGTTTTAAAAGGTGAACAAATAAGGCCTCTTAAATTGCTACTTACTATGTTAAAGTTTGAATGAATTCCGACAAACCATTTTCTCCTTCTTTTCCTTTTCCATCTATGCCATTATCTGCCAAATGCAACTTCACTAACCAAGGACCAGCTTCCATCAGACCTTCAATTTTCTTCTTGATTCCTATAAGAAAATCAGAGTATTTTATTATTTTTAGACAATAGTTCCCCTGTTTATCACCAGCTAAGCTGACTTTATTCTTTTAGATTGTACTTTACTGGACTTGTGTGAGTAGATGCATTTGCAATATAGTCAAGGAAATACTGTACATAGAATTTTTAAAGTCCTTGTTTTATACTCAGTACATCCTTCCTTCTTTAGAACAAGAAGCCCAAAATTACTCTGCATGAAAGGAAATTCCATCTAAGATTTAGATTGTTGCCTTTACTTTGAAGAAGAAAACTGATGTATCTAGATATTTCCTGGAAGAAGATGAATGAGTTGCCCACTGATCTAGGGGAAGTGATAGCTCTTATGAAGGAATTCAGCCCTTTAAAGGAGCTTGAAAAGCTGTTACCTTTTTGAGCTTTAAAGGAGAAAATCTGAAGGAGAAAGAACCATCCTGCCTTTGTAGAATTCATGACTCGGCTGAGGGATCCTGGGGTTGGTTCACCCTTGTCAGTCGACACAGCTTTTGTAAAGAGTCTATTGTCAGTGCTGGGAAACAGCATCAGGTCCACATTTAATTTATGTCAGTTCAAGTTTAGGAGTTTGGCAAAGAAAAATACAGGAAGGGGATGGAGGAAAAGAAATAATCATGGGCATAATGCGGGCTCATCCACTCAGTAAGTATGAGATGGGAAACTGGAATTGCCTGTCCCAAATTCAAATCTTTCTCTGGGGACCTACAAGTATTTAAGTTATATGAGCCCCCTAAACACTAACCAACTACTTCATCCGGACCCAACCGAAGAAAGACCAAGTGATCTGTTCCAAAACTGGGGAAGAAACTGTGTGGGACTAAGAGATAATATGCCTAGATATTGTAATGTGTGGGCAAATCACAGAATTTTAAAGGATCATTTAACTATACACTAATTTTGTCCACCATGCTGACTCGAGAGACTAACCCTGCAGCTAGACAAGACTTGAATTCCTTCAGCATTTAACAAACATTTTCGAGCTGCTATTATGTGTCAGGCACTGGTGTAGGTGCCAGCGACTCAGTGGAGAACAGAAGAGACAAAAATCCCTGCCCTTATGAAGCTGACATTAAGTGAATGTTAACTAGCATGGTTAGAGCAAGGAAGAGAGCAGAGTCAAGGATAATCAAGCATAAATTTTCAAGCCTGGAGGGAAAACTTGCTTTTCAGGAAAAGGAGATAAATTTGGACATTAGGTCTTCCTAGGTTGCTGGTTGGGGAAAAAGAGTAGAAAGCATGCTTTTTAAAAAAAGATTCGATTGGTTTCTTTGGACATGAATCTAATCTGCTGGATCGTTGGATGAAATAGGATTGACGGGGCACGGTGGGTCACGCCTATAATCCCAGCACTTTGGGAGGCCAAGAAGGGCAGATCACTTGAGGTCAGGAATTTGAGACCAGCCTGGCCAACATGGTGAAACCCATCTCTACTAAAAATACAAAAATTAGCCGGGTGTTGTGGTATGTGCCTGTAGTTCCAGCTACTTGGGAGGCTGAGGCAGGAGAACTGCTTGAACCCGGGAGGCAAACGTTGCAGAGAACCGAGATTGCGCCACTGCGTAGCCTGGATGACAAAGCAAGACTCTGTCTCGGAAAAACAAAAAAGAAATAGGCAGGATTTATTTTCCTTTAGAATACAGTTGGAGGGATGAACACTGGCCCATCCTTTGGTTTTATTAGAGGTAAGCCTAACTTGTCTAAATCTCGTTCATCTTTACATCTAAGTAAGGCATGAGAATGATAGCAAATGACAGCTGTCATGAATGATACAACAGTGCTCCATTATTCACACTAGAATAGTATCTGGCACATGGTAGGTATTTAAAATGTTTGCTCAATGAATTAATGAATCAATGACTAATAGAGTGTAAAGTGCAATTGTGTTATGGAAACTTTATCTCACTGTTCAGTGCTTTTCCAAGTACAGTGTTGCTAATAATGCCTTGAGACCACTTGTGAGCAAGATAAAATATGATTTTTCTATCTGTAACATCTCTTCAAGAAAAATGCATTTGAAAATGTAAGTTGACTGCCCAGAATGATGGATGATGTGGATACTGATCACATGTGGCATCCATTTCTTTTTGTCCCCTTCTGACATGATAGAAAGCAGTGGTGGCCAATAGGGCCAAAGCTGAAGGCCAAAAGCTAAATTCCTTTACAGCTGCTCAGCTTTGCAAGGAAAGACATCATCTTAGCCAGTCTACATCCCTAACTAAGCCAGTGTGGCACAAACGTGTGCCCTTGGAGAGGAAGGGACTTCCAGGCCTGTGATTGGCCTGGTCCATCTTGTACTCCCATGGGAGAAACAATCAAAGTCTCCCTCCAGCAGATGATAAGACAGGTCACAATGTCATCTCTTCCCATGAAAAATAAGCAGTTTGGAAAATGCTAGTCTAAACCACTCTCCAGAATGTAGACCTCTAATGAGTTCCGTTGGCCCTGTTAGATAATAGGAAGGCTGGCATTGCTCAGTACAGGAACTTCCTGCTTCAGGGCTTTCACCAAAGTTCAGGCAAAACTGGATTATTTTCTTTAGGTTGAAAACAAATTCCTTGGAGTAAGGGCGGGTATGCGCTCAAGCCCTGGTAATACTTGATACATCCCAGCTGTGTTCACAGCAACCCATTTTTACCTAATCTTACATTTCTTTACTTTGAAACAAAAACAAGCTCACTAACAATGACCATTTCAATTTACCCCCTCTGTCTGGGAGAACTTAGCAGTGGCATAGCTATGCCTGGTTGTGCCCAAGAGGCAGGGTGGTGTACTTAGATGTGCGGAATCTCCAGGTTTAAAACCTCTCTCCGGAAAATGCTATGAGACTCCTTGGAAAGTCACTTAACTTCTCTGAATCTAAATTTCCTCTGGCAAAATAGAGATCATAATACCCATCTCTTAGAAGCATTGTGGGGACGGCTGCGAAGCATTGTGAAATAGTGGTGGTAGGGGCACGTAGTACACAGTTTTAGTGCCTCGCTTGCCAGCGTTATCGCTGGATTTCATACGTCACTGAAACACTGGAATGGGAGCAACCTGGCAAAGAACCTTCATGTGCAAGTGCCCTCCCTTCTACCACTGTCTCCCTGAGGATCAGGAGGACAGTGGCACGCCTTCCCTGGAAGCCACTCCACAGATCCAGTATGGACTCTCCCAGCCTCGTGCTTTCTCTCATTTTCTCTTTGGTCAATTGCCAAGCTTCCCCAGGTGTCCTGGATGTCAGAATCTTTCTCACCACCCTCTTTGAACTGGCTACTAGGTCCTGTCAATTCTCTTCCTTCTAAATATATCGAGACTCCAGCTTTCTATCACTGCAGCCTCACTTTATCTTCTCTTGCCTGAACCAGTGTAAAAGCGTCCTGCTTTTCCTGCCACTCTCCTCTCATCCCCAACTCCCAACACTGCTCCAGAATCCCGCTAAGCTAGTGCAGTTGTCCTCTTCCTTCAGTGGACCTCATCAGACACGATGAGGAGCCCTCTGACATTGACGAGATCTGGGAGATCGTGGATAGACTGTGGCTGACAGTGGAGGAGAAGGTAATCACCAGGACAGAGGGTAACACTGATGACTTGCTCATTGGTGGAAATGCCTCCTCTGAAGGCCCCAAGGGCGAAGGTACCCAAAGCACCCAGAGTCATCATTGGTGTTGATATTGCCATGAACCTCACTTGCAGGAAACCAGCTTTGCAAAGGATGCCTACAAGTACATCAGTGGGGCAAGGTGGTTCATGCCTATAATTTCAGCACTTTGGGAGGCTGAGGTGAGAGGATCTCTTAAGCCTACCAGTTTGAGACCAGCATGAGCAACATGAAGACATGAAGAGACCCAGTCTGTACAAAAAAAAAAAAAAAAAAAAATTAGCTGGGCATGGTGATCACACCTGTGGTCCCAGCTACTTGGGAGGCTGAGGTAGGTGGATTGCTTGAGGCTGGGAGGTCAAAGCTGCAGTGAGTCATGATCACACCACTGCACTCCAGCCTGGGCCACAGAGTGAGATCCTATCTCAAGAAGAAAACAAACAAAAAAAAAGAAGTACATTAAAGATGACATGAAATCAATGAAAGGGGAACTTGAAGAAGCGAGATCAGAAAGAGTAAAACCTCTTATGGTAGGGCTGCCTAACAAATCAAGCACATCCTTGCTAATTTCAAAAACTACCAGTTCTTTTCTTGATGAAAACATGAATCCTGATGGCATGGTTGCTCTGCTGAACTACCGTGAGGATGGTGTGACCCTATATATGATTTTCTTTAACAATGGTTTAGAAATGGGTAAATATTAACAGATTTGGCAATTACTTTGAATATATCACCTATCATCATAAATGGCTGCTGCTTGTCATCCACAAAACACCATGTCTTAAGATAAATGGGCCCTTCATTTATTTTGACTGTGATTTATGTGGAGTAGAGGCCTTGTTTTTTTAAAAAAAAACAAAAACAAAAAAACATGTCACATAGGTTGTCTAAAAATAAAATGCATTTAAACTAAAAAAAAAAAAAAGTCTCATAACTAGTCTCCCATCCTTTAGCTATTCCTCTCTCTAAAGCATATTCTGCAAAACTGCCCAAGATACTTTTCAAAAACCCAGTTCTCACTATGCTACTGTCCTGCTTCAAAACCATCATGGCTCCAGCCCTTTGCACACAGGAGAAAATCTAACTCCTGAACTCAGCATTCATGGCTTTCAGTCATTTGGGTCCACTGCCTCTTCAGTCACATTTCCAGCCGCTTTCCCAATGACTGCTCTGTGGCGAACGTCACCCCTCCAGATCCCTAATATGCCAGGCACCTTCCTCCTCTTATCCTTTTCTCATGTGGTCCCTCTGCCTAGAACCTTCTCTCTTAACACAGCTGACAAACCTCTTCTCATTCCTTCCGAGGAGAGCCCTGTTTCCTAAATGGGCCGGTACTCAAAGGTCAAGGGTAAATTTTTATGGAACCAGCATCCCCCAGAGAGGCTCTCCATATCCTTCAC